TATCAGCAAGGGGGGAGGGGTGGCTTTGAACAATTGTGTGTGCATTGTGTCTCAAGGTAAATTGCTGGAACTGCCTGCATTATGAACATATAGTTTACAAAAAATATGATAAATACAGAAAAGTTTGAACATTTTACAAATTTGAAGATTTTGAGAAGTTTCGATAAGTTTTGAAGAACATAAATTTAAAACCAATTAAGATATTGAAATTTAGAACAAGTTCCATAATTTTAGAATTGTGTAATGAATTCTAAAATGTGGTTTGCACTTACAACGCCAAATTAGCTTAAATATAAACGCCACACTATTTAATTAGTAATTGAAATTTAACCAAAATTAATTGAAACCACTGAATCTACTGACTTTACAGTATTTAGAAATTATGCACGTTAAGATTGCTAAACAACAGGACTGCATAAATTGTTTGTGCTGTCAATATTTTAAAAGTATTAGTCTAAGTATAGAATAGTATTCGAGAGAATAATAAATATGTCACCTTTCTATAAATTTTTACCAAAGTTCGAAAACAGGTCGTGTAATATTTGCCATCGTTGCAAAGAGAATTACTGTCACACTGCTTGTTTATGACTCTACTGTTTAACTCCTACGTAGAATGTTTCATTGAATTTCGAAGTTTGTATTTATATATTATTCGAAACTTATTAGAAAAAAAAACGGATGAATGTGTTATGAGAGAGCACCATTTTGTCTTATTGTTTATATTGTTGCATAATTTTTATATTATGGTAATCGATTGTGTTTCGCCCTAGTTGATCAGAAAAACTATGTTATTTCAGATTCAAACTTCTCTTTATGTTTTGCATATAATGTCATAGATTTTTTAAATTTATATTCTATTCGAAGAATTCAAATAAAGCTTCATTGAAACGTAACTCTACGTATTTCACTTTTCAATTAATTGTTTTATTTTATTTTTCAACCGACGTTAATAATATATATATTCTGGGTAAGAATAATATTTTAACTTGCTGAACCCTTTTCGCTTGCCTTTTGCTACAAGAGTCCCCTATAAGCCACTGTTGTTGGAATTGTAATTTTTTAATTATTTGGAAGTGTAATTATTAATTTGTAAATATATTTTTATAGATATTGTTAAAAAAAATCTCAAAATAGGTTGTGTAAAAATTACTTGGGTGGTTTGCTGGCCCGTACAGCAGTGTACTTCTTGCGGGAAAACACTACCGTAGCGAAGGAGTTAGGAAAACTTATGAAACTAGTGCGAATACCCCGCCATAAGTTTTGGTGAGATAATAATATAGCTCGATTGAGTTCATACTGTCCTACTTTAGTTTTAAAGGAGTTGTAACAATGGTACTTCAAATAACGACCGGATTAAGTTGATTTTTGAAACTAATTTAATAATCATTTTATTTTTTTACGCTCTGTACCTGCTTCATAAAGTAACAGCAATATTGGTTGAAAGCGAACTGTAGTTTTACATTAAATGTACTGAAATTTTAGATTTATCATTTTAAACTAAAATTTTTCTAGCACATATGATGGTAAAAATTAACGAAGTATCAATGAGAGATATATTTTCTATAACCATTTTTTTACAATAGTATTTAACTATCAAATGCTGAGAAAAAAAATTCGATTCAAAATAAAACTCTTAGACGAAAAAAATTATTATTTTTAACTTCCCGTAGGGCAAGTTATAGTAATCGCAAAAAAATCAAAAATGAAAATTTTTATATATCTTTACGTTTCAGAAGTTTCTGAATATTTTGGCATACCTTAGAAAAAATGGTTGTATGTGTGTGCGTGTGTGTGTATGTATGTATGTGTGTGTATGTATGTGCGGATACAAATTTTCGTCGACGATTTCGGGAATACGAATCAACCGATTTGAATAATTTAAAAAACATTCGATTCGTATTGATAAGGAGACGTGCTGATTAGTTTTTGGCAAAGGTAGGTCTAGCCGTTCCGAAGATACGGGGCAAAAAGTGCCGAAAACGGTAACTCAGTTTTTAAGAGAACGGAGCGTCCGATTTGAATAATTCAAAAAACATTTTATTTGTATTAACTAAATGAAGAACTGTTCATTTTGGAAAGGTAGGTCCAACGACTTTGGAGATATGGGGGAAAAAGTAAAAAATGAGCAATTTGGCGGTCAAAAATGATCATTAGACATATGCACATCAAATTATCAGATATTTTATAGAGATTTTAACAATAAGTATAAATTTTGTTTACATTCCCATGGTTTCCGTACCAATGTTAACGCGTTAGACGGCGATGCGGCGCTTACGCGCTTTGACATTTCGTCTTTATGCAGTGAAAGCAGTACGATTGCTTTGAAAAAACCTTCAGAATTTCCAAAATATGTCAAAATAAAGAAAACATTTTTCTTTTCAAAAAAAAATTGTTTTCAAAAAAAAAAAATTTTTTTTTTAAAAGTATTTTTTTTTTCAAATTTATAGTTACTCAAAAATCTAGCTTTTTCGAAGTAAATTTCAAAAATGTTAATTGTTTTTAAAAAAATAATAATTTTTGGTACGGGAAGTTCCAGCAATTTGCCTTAAGGCACGATGCCTTAATTGCCTTAAGACAGAATTCCACTTACAGCTAGTTCTCAATAAATATGAAATGATAGTTGTGTACATAGAAGTTTTATATAATTATATAAGATTCGTGAATGAATAAATTAAATTCAGGTGATTTGTAAATGCTTATTCAAGATAGTTTTTTGAATTATTCAGCAAATCAGGTAAAAGACAAATGGCATGAAATGAATGTTGTATGAAAATAATTACTGACTCAATTTTGGTACAACAGAACATAGGTGTAAGCCACGTTTATGCACTTTAGGAATCCAAATAGCTTTAGATAGGAATGTAAATTTTGAAGTTTACCGCGATGTCTTTGGGTATTTGTTTATTAGTATCCAAGTCGACAGTAAGAGAATCGACAAACTTATTGCAACAGCTATTAATATATTCAGTTGGGTCGTTTACGGTGGAGATGTAAGTTTTGTTATCGCAAAGTAAATTTGAAACTTTAGCTAAATAATCGTTTTCAATTAAAACTTTGGTTACGTTATGCTGGCTTTAGTGACAACGATGTCAGGATTATGCTTTGAAAAAAATGGCATTGTGACAAAGTTAGGATTTTAGAGAATTTTACATTTAAATTTTGATTGTTGGTATACTTTAATCATTAAAAACTGCTTTCTAAATTACTAATCATTTTATTGAAATCAAAACGGTAAATTATGAAATTCATCGAGGATGTTGATATTTAAAATTATTTTTAAACCATTTTTGTTGATTGCGTTATCTTTTAACAAAATTTTATGGTTGAATTTTTCAAGTTCTGTTTTACATTCTTTTCGGTTAGATAAGAGTTATTTTTATATTCTTAAAAATAGAAAGAAGTTCTTTGGTATCTAACGATATGTTTTTAATTACTAGTTCTTTTTTAGCTTGATCAATTTAAATATTTCAGATTTTAATAAAAATACTTCCAAGAAACGCTTTGTGAAGTTGATTTTATACAAGTAATTCATTCTGGGTATTAGGTATTTAGGAATCCGCACATACATAATTTCTGAATTTTGTAAATTCATATACAATCAATGATTTCAGTTATTGATAGCTTTGCATCAATCATCGTTTCAATGGTGCTAATGTAGAAATTTTAGTACAAATCTCTCAATGTGCAAGATTTTATAACGTAAGCTACTATGTAATTTATATTATTAAGAATTATAATTGAATATTTTTTATGAATTCCAATTAATGGCAGTATTTGGACGTATTTTACTTTTCAAATGGTGACGATGACAGAAACTTCTGGACAATATTATATAGAAAATGGGCCTCCCTTAGTGATAAAGCAGCGAATACATTTTCTAAAACTCTTCACATCAACATTCATCAAGCATTCATTAAAATAATATTTCAATAAATTCAATTACTAATTATATTATTGTGAATATATAATATAATATTGAACTACAACAAAATAAACCGTGTTTACAGTTCAATACAGTTTTTTAAATTAATAAATAAACTAATAACGTAACCGCTATTTTATTATAAACCAATCTAGAATGACACGAGGATCATTGAGGTTTTAATTTTTAACTGCTTAATTGTTTTTAATTTAGTTTAAATTAAAATGAATAAATTAGAATTTAATATAAAATTCGGTTTAATTAGCTAATATTATTAATAATTATATTTTATTTTTCTGAACTAAGAGTTTTCATTTTCTTCAGAATGAATTTAATTAATTTTTCATTTTCATTCTATCGATGATTTGGGGACATGGGATGTTTTCTTTATCACAAATTGTTAAATTATTTTTTTTACATTTTTGTACTTTATAATTATTTCTAATATTGAAAAAGATTACTTTTTACCTTCAAATGATATAAAACTAACTAAAATTTGATATATAATTTAATTAAAAATTACAATTGATAATACTGTATGTTATAACTATATATTGGAAAGCTATAATATATTCCAAATTTGAAACAAAGGCTTTTTAAGTTCAGAAAATAAAATCTTGAAATAGCTATTGCTGGTTCTAAAAGAATGGGAAAAATAAAGATATTAATAAATATAAACAGAATAACCATTTATTTAGGTGCCCATAATTATTTAAATATAAAATAATTGTCGAATCAAAGGCAAACGTGAACATAATATCGATGTATGATCGCTAAATTAAAATAATATGTATAAATAATCTATAAAATATGTACTATTGTTATAATGCAATAATACCATCAACTATTATTTAAATATCACAATAAATATATCTCTAACTGATAAAAAGCACTTTTTACGCTCATCACCTAAAAATCAAAGTTAGAAGCTGTGTAACCGTTTGAGAGCTCGTATTTCTCAGAAAATTTTTGCAGTGACATTAATAATAATATGGAATTAATTGCGACAATTTACTATTTGAATTGTTGTTGGTCATATTGTTTTATGCCTTTTACATAAAATTATATTTACTCTTACCGACAACTTTGAGGTCTACAAAGTGACTGGTAACAGGCTGCGTTGATACTTGGCACTCGTAGGTTCCTGCATCACGTTTCTGGGCCCACTTGATCTGAAGAGTCCAGTCTTCCGTATCCCGATGAAATGTTGCCTGAAAACGCTGATCTGAAGTGTAAGTGTATCCACCAACAGTCAAAATGTGTAGATCACGGTGACGAATCCAAGACACCTAAAATTGAAAGGAGTTTATTAAGTCAGATATATGTAGATTTTTAAGAAATTTTGCATTGATAATGATTTAGCTTTTCAATCATTTTGGATTATATAGGGTAAAAGCGGGTAAAAAGGTCCATCATCTCAAAAACAAGTAATATTCGGAATTTTTCGAAAGGATTATTTGAAAGTAGAGAGAAAAAGATGTATAACCAGCCATCACCTTGATTCGACATCGCTATCGAAAGATAAATGACAAAGTTGAAAACATCATAATTTATTATTTTCCTTCGTTGGCAGGTTGTGAGCACTGTTGTTTAGTTCACGAGACCTGAATGTATTGTTGAAGCATAATATGTATTGTTATTTTTAAGTTAAATTCAAATGTTTTTTTTAATTAACCTCTATAATAGCTTACACATTGAATGGATAAAAAGGCCCATCTGGGGCCTTACACTAGCAAAGATGTAAACGATAAAAATAGTATATAAAAAAGTAAATTACGTTTAAAAAAAGACAAAACACCAGAACAAGGTTAAATACAATGATATTTCTGTAAAACATGTTCCCTAGAAATTTATATGTTGAATAACGTAGCTATCACTTCGAAAAAAAACCTTTAAAATTAAAAGTAAGACATTAGGCCTGTTTGCCCCCTGACTGTCTCATTCTACCCCATCTAAGAGGTAAAAAGAACCAGATGACAAATTAAAAAAAAACGGAAGAAAAAACTTCTACAATGATAAATTAGGTAGGATCTTACTGAACATAATCAGATATTTGTGTGTTTGATATGTGTTATTTGTTGTGATATAATAGTTAACATGATTGCTCAAAAGTCAAATTGGACCTTTGTATTGACCTGTTATGTAATATTTATTATATAAATAATTATATTACAATACACTACAAAACACTAAAATTATAAACTAATCTACCACAATATTATTTAATGTAATCTAAGTGACTCTAAAATCGTTTGAAAATATTCTCTTAACCACCAATTGCGTCGAATATGCAAAAATTAATTGTAATATTGAATATTGAATAATATTGAAGAATGGATAGTAATATTAAATTGAACTTGAAGCAGTAAATAGAAATTAGATAGAATTGAAAGAAAGAAGATAGATTTAGAAGGAAAAAGAACTCGTAATGACTAAACAACCAAATAATTGATCACCTTAATCTAACAATAATCAATTATTATTATTATTATTATTTTTCATTTTCTTCACAAAAACATCTAAGAAATGAGACAGTAGTATAAAAAATCACTGAAGACTAAAAATATATCGATTTAACTTTTGTCGGTTTAAAAAGTTTGGAAAATTTTGTTTGAATGAATGATATAGTAGTAAATGTTCACTTAATGTTTTACCAAATTAACCAATACAAATAACCACTTCAAACGAAACGAAACAAATCACAAAATTGCAACAATTCCTTCAAGCAATGAATCCCTTTCTAAGAAAACTATCAACAAAACATGAGCGTTCAAAATGATTATCCCATAAATGATTATTTATTAATTGACAACATGTAAAGACTAATAAATGACGCTAGATTTTCGACTTGCATGGGACAATGAATATATAACAAACAATAAATATATTACATATATTTAATTAATTAATATATGCATTACGCATTTGTACCTTTTGTGTCAACTTGAAAATTGATGTGTTTTTAGAAAGTCCATTATATTATGAAGCACGTACGATCACTAATAAAAATTAACATATCACTTCTAACAAAATAAAACAAATCACAAAATTAAACTCTTATAACAAATCACTTGCAACAAAACATAACCACAAACCACAACATTACGCCATATTAACAACAAACTAATGGCGTCCGATAGGCGTCCATTAACAATAACATTACGCCATATTAATAACAAGCTAATGGCGTCCATAGTTAAAAGTGTTACCATATGTGAAATTTAATTCTTATGCGGCGCTGGCGCACTCTAGGGGCTTATCCCAGAACTGTTAGTACCAAACCAAGTACATATATGTTCTTGAAGTACTCGCAATGATATTTCATTTTTGCATCTCGTGTGATATTTATGATAATCCGACATAAACTATAGTATTTATATTATTATTGTATCGATTCGCAAAATTTCTCATCGGCTTATATTATTTTTAAGATCTTCGTTTTGACTATCTTATAACCCTGCAGAGCTTTATCAAATCAAATTCTCTGGTGAGCAAACTTGAGATCGTTATTTATAAATATGAAAAAAAAAATCGAAAACCTATAAAAGTTTATAAGATAATATCGATATTGAAAAGTCTGCAGCCATTTCTATCAAATTTTATTGAAATAAAATGAAATATAAGAAAATTGGATTTATATACTAGATATGTCTGTTCATAATTCGGACCATTTCAATAATATTCTAAACAATTTCAAAAATATTTTTTTCAATATATCGATCAATGTTTAGATACAGAAATATAATAATTTTTTGTTCTTTAATTCTTTAGATAATCATATCCATTTTTTGTTATTGTTAATCAATTATCATTTAACATATGTAAATTAAATAATTTCGGAACATTTATATTAGTTTGGCCGTAATGCCAACTCCAACAAAAAATTGATTTTGAATACTGAAAGTGGCAAACTAATATCTTTTACTCACAGGAAGAATATACCAAATGTGATATTATATGATTATACTGCTGTTGATCCCACTGCATTATCATAGTAATAAAATTTCAGAAAGAAGTTTGTAAAAATAAAATAGAATATAATATGATAATAAAAATAATGCATATTAAAATCAATATTATAAAATCTGAATATGGAGAACGTCGAATGGTAAAGGATGTAAAATAAAATTGATAATGTATATGGCTAGATGCTCCAGCGGGACCAATAATATATTTGTTTATAGAATTTTACAAAACCTAATAAAATAAATAATGATGATAACAATTAGTCTGTTGATAAGTAGTACATAGAATCCGCTACAGCAAGCATAGATTTTTCTACAGAATTTAAAAATTGCTGATATATTTCTTGCGTAAGGGTTCAGGCACATCCTGGTTAACCTGCGTTATTGACAGTGATATCAATTTTTATACAAAAAATATGTTTTTAAGTCAAATAGCTGTTTCAGGCACTGCTGGGAAAACAAAGTATGATATACAACATTTAATGGAATAAAATATAAAATGAAATAGGAATTAATTTGATAAAAAAAAATCCGAAATGTGGTATGAATATGGTGGATATTCAGGCCATTGCGCATTCATTGTTCTTCGCAGGTTCTCAATGCATGTTATAGAAAAGTATAGATAGTAATCATATAATATAAATCATTTGATCCATGTTTCAGAAAGTTTTTAGTGTCAGACTAGATTCACAGATATTGCTTCACAAAACTAAAACCTATTAGTTTTATACATTCGCTACTTACATTGTGTATATATTAGATATTTACCTAGCAATATATGTACCTGATGCTCTTCAGGCAAAGCGTTCAACTAAAACAGCAGTAATTATTCAAAAGCCACCTCATTCAAGCTAATAGACTGTTATTTCATTGTGAGCATAGCGGATTGCATTAGTCGCAAAGGAAATAGACCATTAGACGTAGATTTGCTTCATTGTTTTCAGACAAACACACTCGTTAGTTCTAATTCTATGCGAACGACTCTTGTTGCTGTCTGCTCGACGTTTTTGGGCCTTCCTTACAAGGAACGAATGATATTATAAAGACGTTCTAGAAATACCAATATACGATTAAGGTATATGAATGTTCAAAGCTACAACAAATCCTGTTTCGGTGGTTGCTATGAACAGTTTTCAATATATGATGCAATATTTATACCTAATGCATTATATATATGAATCCAAAATATAGTATAAATTTATAAGCAAACATCTAGTCAGGTAAAATATTATTTAATGGAATCTGTTTGAAACTATGTTTGTCATATAAATAGTTAAGTCATTTATTAATAAACCAATTAGGAGAATTGATTCTTAATTATTGAAGTAAAACTTCTTTAGGCGCGACTAGGGTGTAAATCCGTAAAATGCAACGGAAATAGCGTTACGTCCGAACTATATGTCATTGTGATTAGTCGTCGTCGTGTATGTGAATAGAGATCTGTCGTTGTATGCGTACCGATATCAACAAGGAAATCGGCATAGATAAATAAACATTTTAAAGTTACATCGTAGTACAAATCTTGATTTAATGAAAAAAGCCTGAATCAGAAGAATATTTTACCCTGTTCCTTGAAAATAATGAAACAAGTTAAACATTTGTGCCGTGTACTAAACGTAAGTTTATTGAATAGAAATTATTTCTATATTATTCGTAGTTTCTATAAATCTTTGAAGCTATTAAAATAGAAAATATTTTTAGGCACGACAGATATTACAGCTGTTCAAAGAAATAGATTATATCGCCAGCGAAAAAGTGAAAAAAAAATACAAGCAGTCCATGAGTGTATGTTAAATTTAATTACATGAAGTTCTTCAAACACAATTACATGATGAGTAAAATTGTGAAAAAAGATTTACTTCAATCGCGTGTGAGCCTTACGCGCACTCTTTTTTTTTTTTGAAATTTTAATTTCTTTTGCAATTCTTTTAAGTTGTTAGGCTGAGAGACCAATTCTTGGATAAAATAGCTATATTATGTTATCGGTCTTTTATGTTGGGAAATCGCTCGAGTTGGTAGTTACTGTAGAAAAGCTGTCCTTGCTATTCGAACAAACATTTTACACATTATTCACTTCTCGAAATTAACCTCCAAATGGCATAAACGTTAGAATATAATAACTTTAGTTCGACTTCACGTATATGAACAATATGTTGTCACTTATGATAACACATGCGTAAAATAGAACTAAAGATACTTAATCAGCTTAAATTGCTATATGATTGCAAAGAGAGTACCGATTGATGTATCATGATAGATCCTATTACTGTTGTCAACAAATATTAATTTGGAAGTTTTAATCACCAGTTTTTCACAATCACTAT